CCAGGTTTGTTTACATCACGTGTGCCATAGTGGTAGGGCGTCCCTCGCTTTCGGACGCGCGCAGTGGATAGTTATTGTTCTGTCAGGGGTGGCACAGCATAGGCAACCAAAAAAGGTGTAAGTTTCCATCCGTGTTTGAGAAAAGAACAACCGAGGAAGCAGGGATGATATTAAAACAGGAAAGGTGTGGGTGAGCATGATGGTCTGCTCGAATCACTCATCAGATGCTTTCACGATGAATCATGTTGTATTTTGTATTATGATTTGCTCTTCTTCGAAACTGTCTTTTTCATCCTCCATACGAATTCTACTGGCGGGACTCGGTGCCAACAATAATCCGATAATCCGCCTTTCCTTTTCCCCCACACCTAAATTTCTTTTTCTGCGTCACCTGTTGCGCTGCAAAGTTGAAAGAATGAACAGTCTTCTTTATGTTGTCCAAAACGGAAGGATGCTCCTGTGTCTGTTCAACAAATCAAGGATCCCACATTCGAGCAAGTCTAGCCTTTCCAACAGTGCAGTAGCTGCGGCAGTGTTTTGATAGAGAAAGAAGAAAAAGTAACATGCTGGATGCTTCTTTATTTCACCCACATATGTAGACGCCATTGGGAATTCTTCTTTTTTTTTTTCGTGCAATAAAAGATGCGTTGATGAATGTTTATGCTCAATACTATGAGTCTTAGTTATTGTAGACAGCTTTTGGCCAGAAGGGCAGAATGTCGTTTAGCGTCTCAAAATACTGGCTGTGGTCCTAGGGTTTGATCCATTTTATTCACTCTAGTTAGAATAGGATCCTAAAAGTGTTTCCCTCACTTGGCAGATCAGATATAAAACTACCCCGCATCTCATCTCTTCTTAATTATATTGTCATTACGGTGATCAGATAACATCTACATCTGTGCAATGTCTCAAATGGCTGCAATTAAAGTGTTAGCTGTCGACCAAATGATTTGTTAGTTTAAATGCACTACCTTAACAAAATGATTTGTTGATAAAGATAATTTGATAAAACAATTTGCTCTAGAAGCTTGCCTATGCTTCTTTTTTTTTCTAATTTTAATTGTGTAAAATGGTTTTCCATCTTTTCTTATTCAAGTTAGGCTTTTAAACTGTGTGCCTCTTCAGAATGCAACATTTCTTTTTGTATTAACTCTGTAAAGACTCGTAGTAATCCACACTTTATATGCTAGGAGCATTCACTTCGCTGTAATTACCAAAATATTAAATGTGCTGTTGATTTTATTAAGTTTGGTAAAGTTCAGGATATGTATAAAAGCAAATGGATGCAGGACTGCCCCCAATTTTTTAAAGATGCAATAATCAGGATAGAGGAACTACAGTCGGTGACAGGTGAAGTGGAAAGAGGTGGGAGGAGCTTCCACTTTACTCTTAACCTAATAGTAAGGTTATCTCAAAGGAGGAAACCAGTTAACAATGGTGCCATTGATTCTTCTTAAAAGAAGTGGGACAAGGAATTTTTCTAAAACTGTCAATTAATCGGAAAAAAAGATGTAAATTTAAAACATTAGTGAGCTAAACATGAGTGTCTTCACCATGCTTTGCCCAGGACAAAAAAAATAAGAACACTCCAGTAAACAGCATTGAAGCCTGGGATGAAGACCTGCCAGACACAGAATTTGTAATCGTCCGCAACGAATGCAAGAACAGGTTACAGAAAAAAAAAGACAAAATGAAAAGTTACTAGCAAGACAGCAAGGCTGAACGAAAATCCATTCAACTCGGAGAAGCAGCGGCGGCATCAGGAGAGTCCCAACTTTGGGTTGTGCCGGGCTTCTGCTAGATGGCGACACTGAAACTTCTCGCCGCGAATAGCATAATCACCAGGCAGCCGTTGCTTTCTGACCATCATGCAAAGAAAGTCTATGCATAAAAGCTCATTTTCAATGAAAGATGTGTCCAGAAAGAAAGTCCCAAGTGAAGTAGCACGGAAATGAAGATGCATACCGACTACTGTTGTAAGGAAACTGCCTCCCTTTTATAATAAGGGGGCGAAAGACGTGCCAGGGGCCCAGAAAAAGATCAAGAGAGGTCAGTTTTTTACAATCCACCACTGCAGACTTTGCCACCCCCCCGCAATTTCATACAGAAAAACTCTCGGGCCAGGTATAGGGTGTTTTCACTGACGTAATTTCGTCCACCATTTTGTTGTTGTGAACAGTCTGGCCTGCGCTGAATGTGAGCATTCCAAGGATTTTCATAACCCCTCATATGCGCAGAGCATAGAAGCTTATGTCTTACAAGGCCGATATCTCCTCAATAGGTTGCGATGTAATCCTTCAAATTAGTAATTTTGTTTGAAAAAACGAACTAGCAATAAAATAGCAGATTGATGTCATGTGAAAACAGCCTATTCAGAGAAGGGTGATTTACAGTACACAAATTCCAAGTTTTTCAATAAATCTGAATCCACAATATGCTGACCCTTAGTGCTTTGTGGATCTTATCGGATTTATTCGAAAACGCCGAATTCTGGCCATGCATACAAGCTGGTGGTGGCAGGGTCGGGCAGAAATACTCAAAAATGTATTTGGAAATACAAATACTGTGATACATGAAAATAGTAGCCTAAAAAACTGATAGACAAATATATTTGTAAAAATGTATGGTGATATGTATCGGAAATACATTTTAAAAAGAGGCAAAAAGTCTTTGGAAATAGAAATACAGGAATACATTTTAGGGAAGGCAAAAAAACAAATACTGATACTGCAATACATTTTACAAATTTGTTTGAGACGCCAACTGAGATTAAGCTTGAAGTTTGAAGTGGAAGTTTTTGATCCCGAAATTACTTTCCACAGGCTTGGCACTTCGCTTTGAAGGCAGTGGCTCCGGACGAAAAGGAGTCTTCAGTGGGCTCAAAAAACGTTCCATCAAGGTTTGACCGCGGTCCCTCCCCCAATATCCTGTCTGTTTGACGAGTGATGCGAAAAAACTTTGACCTCTAAATAAATTCCACGTCACCACGCTCCTGTCCTATAAGGGCGCCCCTGTCAACATTGACCACACGACGTCACGGTGGAATGAACTGGTATACTTGTATCTGTAGGTGTGGCCTTGAACATGAAACTTTACCTACGCAGCTCTATGAAAGGACAATACATACTTTCGTTGTAGGTGACCTTGTTGAAGGTCATGCAGGCAGTTGCATTTGGAATTTTTGAAAATAGTGGACCACCTGAAGCATCCTGAAGCAGATGTCTTATCTTCTGTTACGGTTGAAAAAGCAAGGTTGAAAAAACTACACGGCGGCATCACTGTTGTGACATCCTCCAAGGCCACGAGGCATGGATGGCAGTCCTCAAGTTTCGCCTAGCGTCATCCAAACAGAGGCCTCCCCACGGACCCACCGAGGCTATGACACATGGATGGCAGTCTTCACGTTTCGTCTAGAGTCATCCAAACAGAGACCCTCGTGGATTGCAACCCGAGATGGCCTGCATAGGTGCAAGCTCTGTCACAGATGACGTACCTCTGAGCCGTGCAATATTACGGGCGCAGACGCTTTCCTGTGTCTAACTTCACTATGCGAGTCGTCCCACTACTTTAAGTCAACCACCACCAGGATCGTGCTGCAACGGACTGTGACTCAGGCTTACCGGGTGGGTGTACTCTGTACGCTAAGGCAAGAGAGACGGTTAGCAGCGGGCACTGGATGCCAGCAAACAATGACTCGTGAAATCCCTACCTAGGAACCTGCGGCAGAAGGTGCTCAGACTCCACTCTTGGCACACTACCTGGTAAGACGCAACACTTTCCAGAAGAGAAAAATAGTTTGGAAAATAGGGAGGGACCTTGGTCAGCATAGTAACAATGCCCCAGCATCTCATTGACCCTGGTGCCCTCAGAAGTAAAAAAAAAAAAAAAAGGTGTTTGGACTTACATTTTGTTTTCCGGAAAATCAAGAAATATAAATACCGTATTTACTCGCGTATAGGTCGACCTGTTTTTCAAAAATCGCCTCATCAAAACTGGGGGGTCGACCAATACGCGAATCCCGGTATTATATTTTTCAACTTTTTTTTTTTTTCGGGGGTCCCGAAGTTAGGGGGTCGACCTATACGACGTATCGACCAATATGCGAGTAAATACGGTACATTTCATACTGATTGTATCGTGATACAAAGGAACATTCCGAATGTATTTCGATACAGGAATACAGATACTGGTAAAAAAAAAAAATGTACTGTGATACAGATACAAAATGTATTTCTGAAAGAGTAAAGCTATATGCACTACGTAGTGCACTTCGGTCGGAAATGGCTATACGCACTACGCGGAGAGCTCATGCCATTTGGGTCACCCTTTTCGAACGACGCGTGTATCACTGGGGAGCTCGTTAACAGAGCCCTCCGCCTGCGTTCACGCCGCTTCGCGGCGACAATATGCGGCTCCTAATTAGAAAACTTAACCAGTACATGCCGCGAAGCGGCATCCAGCCGGCAACCCAAGCCCTGATCGCACCTCCAGAAAGGGAGTCCCATATCATTTAGTTCTGCAAAGTTTCGTCGACATTTGTTTTGTTTTTTTCTGTGTTTATCGTAAAAAGAAAATGTCGTAAATATCGCCAAATGCCTCGACAAAACAATATGTTCGAGAAAAGAAAAGAAAAAAAAAGTAGGCCGACTGTGATTTGAACCCGAGCGTCCACTTCCATATAAAGCCGACACCTTACCACTATGCTACGCCACCGCTTAGGAAACTCGTTGCAAGCATTCGTTGTATACGAGTTTCGCGTAGTGCGTATAGCCATTTCCGGCCAAAGTGCACTACGGAGTGCGTATAGCTTTACTCTTTCTGAAATACTCCGTGGCTATGTCGGCAAACTGGAGGAGACCAATCATCTTAGGACAAACGCTCGAGATGTTTTTTTGGCCGTGCTTGTTCCTAGCTTGCAGCCTCGAGAGGTTTGGTACTGAACCTCTCATAGACAACATTGTGTCCCTTGTAGATTCACGATACACCGAAATGTCGCTTACCCAGATACCGAGGGTGATCTTTCGGTTCCGGACAGCGATCTGCTTGGCCCCGTACGCAGCACCTATTGTCTACAAAAACAAGAGGAAGCGAGTGGGGAGTGACAGGGGCACATTCCTTCAACCGGCTATGACACTCACATTCTGGTAGGGAGTGGCGGAGTCGAACCGGTCATAGAGGTACCGCTCCACGAGGCTCGTCTTGCCCCCGTACTCTTTACCCAGGAGGACCACCTTGAGGTCCACATTACTCATGCCTCGAGCGAAATGGGGCACCGAAGTAAGTGCCCCGAATCGGTACCCGTGAGCACGACCTAAAGAGAGAACGAGACGCTCCATCAACTGCAAACGCCCAATACAAATGCAAGCGGGTCGTTCACCGAAGGACAGTTCTGCGAACTCGCCAAACGTCACCTGACAAATACCAAAAAGGCAACTGACGTCGACACATCGAACAGACGGGTCGATGTCTTTCCGAGTTATCGCGGACCTCGGGTCTTTTGTTTACCATGTGGAGCGATCGCACCCTGGCATCATATTTCGATGACCCATCGCCACGTTTGTCCGTCCGCGACGAGGCACCATAATTGCCACAATCACGGGTCCGTCGTGTCAGTAGCGAGAGTGAACGGAAAAAAGCTCCCAACAGATCGGACCACTTACACAGACGTCACAATTCTGCACCGTCAGCTGGCATTTCAACGTTTCAACGGATCATTCCTCGGACACCATAGCGCCTATCGCCAAGATCAACAAAGTTGACAAAGCTCTACCCCAACGTCCTTGCTCTACCCCAACGCCCGGATGGATGAATGGTGGCCATGCATGCAGTTACGGCTCTGTGGCCATGGTGGCCTGATGATGGCTATTCTCTCTGAATCGGACGGTGACTTGCGTCACCTAGCCAAGTAGTGTTTTAGTTTAAAGGGATTGTCCGGTCAAATTTTGTATTCGAGAAAACAATTGAATATCATTGTTATTGCCTCGAGACGCATCGTACGTGCAATATCTGAATTTTATATGCCCCTCTGCATGAGTAATTGAATTTATGCTGCTCCAATCGCATTCTAGCGTAAACGCTGCTTTCGTTGGCAACATTGAAGTTTTGACGTCACAAAACACAAAGCGAGCATTTTTGTCTGCCTCAGCGTGCTTCGTTTTTGTTGTTTTGCTCGACTTGTTTCGTGGTTGGGTGAGATTTTTGTTGCGCGGTTGGGTGCCACAACCACCCGGCAGCACATGCGAGCCAAGACATGACGTTCCACACTTTTCCGCGAGACGTGCAGTGACGAGCAAAATGGATCGTCGCCGTGCGTAGGGACTGGGTTCCCGTCAAGATTGAGATCCCGCTTATGCAGCAATCATCTCACAGAAGAGAGCTACGAGCTGAGCTCTAAGCGGACAGAAGGCTCGTAAGCTGAGGTGTGATGCTGTGCCAACGATATTAAACTACGTCCATCCACTCCTCGCCCAAATCGGATCAATCAATTTGTTTATCCAGCGAAACCGAAACCAACAGCTGGACCACCTGGAAACGAAACCAGAAGTTGTATTTAGCACGCGTGCAGCCAAATTCTGTTTGACCCGCTCGTGCAAAGAGCGTGGCTACGATTCACCAAATTCGTCCAAGTCAAGTGACGATATGCATTTGAACGATTCGCCAGTTGCCTTCGACCCGCGGTCATCGCCTCTGAGCGAAAGACCCGCAGCCTCATCACCGATCCAATGGATCGGCCGATATGTGCATTCAGATACCGCTTCGTATACCTAGTTGCCGCTTCAGAGGCGAAATCTGCATCTGCTTTGCAAGTGGCCGTCGCAGTTGTGTTTGCGCGAAACGGCATACGTTTGCTCGAAGCTTATGGCTGTTTTCGAGTAATATCCTGCTGAAAGGCGTGACATTTTTTGCACACGCTTAGGAACTGCAATAAAAGAACCGTATTCCAGTAGGGTACAGCCCAGGACAGTGGTTCTCAACCATCGATGTTTCGCGGACTTCTTGTGGATCGGCGGAGATGATGGAGGACCCCGTTCGTGGTGAGAGGAGTCGAAAGGTATAATTAAATATAATAATGATTTAATAAATGGATATAACTAAGGGCTAGTATGAAGTAGAGCTCTCTTATTGAAATTCACACGAAAAAACTCGCGCGAAAACTAAAACAATTCTTTTCGACCTAAAAAAAAAAAAAAAAACTTGTTGCCGGGCTTGACTGGTGAGGCACGGCTTCGCGGACCGGGCCTTCGCGGACCGCCTTAGAGAACCACTGGCCTAGGAGTCTATATAATTCGAAACAAAATACAAGGCATCCATCGACCAACGCTTGTTATCCCGACAAACCTTTGCGTTTTGTGACGTCACGCAGCAGCTACGGATGTCAGCCATTGACGCTGGCGGAATTCGGGGTGCAGTTTCGTACATACGCTCATGAAAGGTTTAGTTAATAACGGGAGATCATATATCAAAATAAAAATGTTGTTTGTCTACATGAAGGCTCCCTCGACGTAACGAGCGCAAAAACTTAAGTACTTCCGGTTTCGACCGGACAATCCCTTTAACTGCTTTAACTTTAAATTTTGACTTTAAAACGATATCATCTATCCGTCCCTTGATTTCTTCTTTTACTGATTCCTACTTCCTGAAGACGGTTTGTTTCACCATTCTCCTCAAATCTCAGAGCCCTGAGGAAGTCAGCCTCTTCGCGTAATGTCCTTGGATGGCCAAGCACCCCCCCCCCCCCCTCCCACACACACACACACGGAAGTGAGCCTAGGGGCGAGGAGGCGAGGATGTGGCCTACTTCGCTCGGCGCTCCCCAAACTTCGGCAGTGCGCCTCTCAGTGCGCTGGAAGCTGTCACCGTTAAATCGAGAACCGAAAGCGAGTCACCGGCACATCTGTGCTTCGTATGAAGCGTGGAATCCAATTCAAGGAATCATCTTGGCACGCGATATAAGCAGCAGGAAAAATAATGTCCTGGTTTCTCGCTGCCGCAACGCAGTCAGACGCAGTCAAGCGCAACTGTCTGAAACAGGCTTTAGCTTTGCCTGCTCGGCGCGTGCGGCGAGCTTCTTCGCACCGCACGCGCTGAGCTAGCAAAGATAGCAGTGATAGCTTTCAGCGCACTAACTGCTGAAGCTTGGGGAGCGCAGAGCGAGGGGTATGAACCATAGAGTTATTACAATAAACGCTAGAGGCTCAGCTGGCGCTAGTGTCTATGGGACTTCCGGTTGCATTGAAGCAGACAGCATGCAGTCTAGATTTCCAGCCTCCCTGTGTATTTCTATGGGAAAACGCGCGTGAATTTTGTCTCTTCGCCAGAAAATAACATGAATAACTTTTGTCATTTCGGTTGTACCGGATAGTATGTACCTTTATTAATATTGTGAAAGTGTAATTGCTTTAGTTACAGCATTTTTTCTTTACCACTGAACGATGTTAAACTTCGCTATATTTCAGGCCCAAACCTCTGTTCCATGGCAGGTATGTAGAAACGAGCCACGATTCTAAGCAAAATAACAATCGAAAGAAATCTAGAGTGTGCTCAAAGTTCGCCAGCATTCCGTTGGTGCTTATATATTGCTAATATGCCTGCCCTCTCACTATATGAAAATCACCCCGTCGTGCATCTTTACGATCGGTTAAAAAAACGTTCGAAACGTAAAGAATAAAGTATGTGGGCTACGAAAGGTGTGTTTTCTTATTATTTCCTATGTTGGGAGTTTTTATCGCGCGCCTGTTCTCTGCCTTCCCCCTATTTGCAAAGATTTGGAGCGTGCGGGTGATGATCGACTTGAACACAGAACAAGCATCTTCGCACATATTCACGAGCAGGAAGCATAAAGCAGTACTGATTTATTGCAAATCGGACTATATTACGTGACTTTCAATTTGTTGTGATCGTCTGCAAGCAGAGTTACTTATCCAGTGTTACTGCGTAGTTCTTGCCGTCTCTCTTCGTTTTCCACATGTCCTTCGTTCGTTTGGCACGTATATCGTATATCCCCCATGCTGGAAAGCGCCGACGCCGTGTTCGCGCTAACAGTGTCCGACAGTGCACATAAATACATGTACGAAGCGGTTTTAGCACCGTTTTTCATGCCACGATTTTAAAATAAAAACGCCGTAACTGACCAATTATTTTATCTGTGTGTCTGGGAAATGTTCCAATGTGCCTAGTAGGTACGATTTATTCGTGATATTTGCTTTTATAATCGAGCGCAGAGAGGAAATGCACTCGCTTTTTTCCGTAGAAATGCATTACCGGAAGTCAATTTCGGACTGCTTGCTGTCTGCTTCAATTTGCAACAGCACACTAGCGCCAGTTGAACCTCTAGCGTACATTATAATAACTCTATGGTATGAACACTTCGGAGTAGGCCACGCACCCTCGGCCCACTTCCAGGCGGCGCAGCCTGTACCGCGAGCCACGCGCTCCTCTGTTCGCGTTTCATTTTTCCCCGATAGTACATTTCCAAAGCGCTTCTGCATTCTTGTCTCCCACACTTTACTCTTCCTCGGCGATACACCAATACCTTGACGCGAGTCGTCGGGTTCGTTTTCTCCATCTTGTGTCCAAGCTGCTCAAATACAGCTTTGGACGCGGACGCGACGCTACACGGAGCTCGTCAGCGGCGCGCGCCGGATGCATACGTGCGTGAAGACGAGTTGGTGGAGGGATTAGCGTAACTGTTCTGTGTCAGACCAATCGTGGGAAGCGATCCTCTCCTCATCCATTCCCCGCAGCCGTTTCTCAAATTCCAGTTTGCTATTTGCCTCCCTTGTTTCGAACGATGACCAACCCATATCTCTCTGTACACCTTCAGTAGGGGCTCCTGCCCACGCCACGCTACGCCACGCTGTTTGACCTCCAGTCCCGACCGTCCCCACTGCGCCTACGTAATTAATTTTACGTAATTAATAAAATAGTACCTTTCACAGCTCATCGTTTTTGTTTCGATACGGGAAGTGTTTTTAAATGCCAAAATTGGTTAATTTCGCCTTTGTAGTTTCGGTTCTTGTTCTTGGACTGATCGGACGTGTTCCTTGAAAGATGTTCTTTTTTTCTTTGTTTGTCGCATGATTATGTGTGCATGTGATAGTAAATACAGATATAAATAATGTTAGGGGCAGTAAAAATAGTTTATAGTTCTTTTTTTTTTTTTTTTTGCGATTTCACGTTACAGGTCTTTGTTTGGATAGTTCGCCGCGTCAGTAGTTGCCGTTGACCCAGGGTGATGCTTTTAGTTTTTTTGCCCGATACCCCCAAAGGTCATCCTGGTGATATCCCGTTGCAGGGGGGAAGCAAAATCACTCAGAAAAGCAAAAAAAAAAATTATACTTTTGGTTTTTAGCTTCTAGGTGGCGCAAGCTAGCCCACTGAAGAGCCTGAAAAGGTTACAGCCGTCAGCATTGATCTACCTATCCAATGGTACGAGTACCCATGCGAGTACCATCCCTCTGGTGCCATCCGCGTCTGTCCATGTGTTCCATTAGACGATTAGCGCGGGTAGCCCTAGCGCGGGGTACATTTCGAGCGTGCTTTCTGCGCTCTATGCACGCTGCCATCGTATGGCTTAAAATTTAGCGAAATTTAGCGTAGCTTTTATTTAGTCTAAGACGGGAAACATACTCGGAGCGCGGTGACTCCTAAATTTTTTTATCCTTACAACCACGAATGTACCGGCGTGAATGGGTCGAACTGAAATTCGGACGTTCTGTTCGAAGCGGCCTGGTGCTACGGGCTTGTAAGAGTGATATTTATCGGGTTGAGAGCTGCTTGCAGCAAGCTTAACCGAGGTTTCCCGCTGCATCTGATTGAAGAAGAAAGACAACCATGTCGGTGTGCTGGTTTTACGTGCAGGGAAGATGTCGATTCGGTGACAAGTGCCGGTATCTGCATCCGCGTGAAGGTGAGTGCTTCGCTAAAACGCTGCGTTTGTCGAGGTTTGTGGGAGGTGGTTGCGCTTTGCCAACGTATCTACGCTCGTCACAACGATGCACTGCTGGTGCTCCTGAAGAAGCAGATATCTCAACTCTGAACCACGGCCAGGAAATATCATATCCCGAACGCAGCAAACAAGCAATAATCTCTTGGAAGGGGACAGTGCGAGTGCACGCGACATATATCGAAAGCAAACACATATGTGGCTTTGAACAAAAAAAAAAAAAATTGCTTGACGTATGGTTGGAAGCACGTTTTACAAAATGGGCACGTTTTATCAAAGCACGGTTTAGAGAAAGCAGGGCCTCAGTTTAGATAGGCCGCTTTCCTACTTCTAACTTGTATCACTGGTGCGCGTGTTAAGCCATGCCCCCCGCTGCGCTCCCGCCGCTTGGCCGGCGGCAGTCTGCGGCGACTCATTACAAAAACGTTAACTGACCTGATTTACCCGTACACGCCGCTTCGCGGCGGCCGAATTCGGTAAAAGGAGCCTCATCGCCATTTTCTCTAAACTGGGTTCTCTATAAAGGGATTCGATAAGCCGGGGTCGGTAAAACGGCGTTCGCTAAAACGAGCTTCTCTAAACCGCATGCCTTCGCCAAAGGGTAAAGCTAGACTCACGAGCTCGTGCACCCTGGCCGGAAGTGGCTATACGCACGACGTGGAGAGCTGATGCCATTTGGGTCACCCCTTTTGGACGGCACGTGTATCACTTGGGAGATTACAAAATTAAACCCACTTGGCCGCCCCGTTCCGTTCCGTCCCATACCATTTTATTTCAACAAACTGTCGTCGACAACTTTTTTTTTTTTTTGGTGATAATTGTAAAAAAAGAAATGTCGAAAATATCGCCAAATGCTTGACAAAACGAAATGTCTGAGAAAAAAGAGAATAAAAAAAGTAAGCCCACACTGTGTATCGAAACGGGGTCCGCTGTGTATGAAGCAGATAGCTTACCATTGGGCCCGTTCAGTAGCGGCTCCCTCGGCTCTGAACAGAGTCTCTCGAGTCTGAGTCATCGGAGCGCCTACTGAACGGCAAAAAAACCTGCGGCTCCAAGCCTGCTTCTATACTCCGCGACAACTTTTCTTGGCAATGCAGTGGAAGGTACGTCCCGCGTCCCCTCTCCCATTTTGAGTGTACGCAGGCTCTCCTCCTCCCCCATTTCCGGGGAGAGGAGGAGAGCCTTCATACACTCGAAATGGGAGAGGGGACGCGGGATGTACCTTCCACTGCACTGCCAAGAAAAGTTGTCGCGGAGTATAGGCAGTTTCCGCTTCCTCCCCTGTGCCAGACGGTCTTTGAATGAACTGGAAGCAGACGATGGCGAGCACGATCGCTTTTATTTGACGCCGGTATTGAAGACTTTACAAGGTCGTTGAAGAAAAAGCGGGTGACTGTACACATCAGCGCTGCTGTAGGAAGCGATGCAACGCGATCGCTTCGAACAGCAGCGCTCTTCGCTTGGCGGTGCAAAGGCAGCTACTATTATAAAAACCGACAAAAAACGTCGTCAGCACACGCAAAATATAGAGCTCGGCGAATCTATGCTGCCGGTTGCGATACTTTTATACGGCCATACGTTTGTTCTGCCCCTTGTAACAAACTTCCTATGAAACGTATTCGTATACATACGGGAAGTTTGGCCGCGCTCGGCGATCAAGGTTTTGTCGGCCGAAGCGAGCCTCAGCCAATGTGCACCCCGATTTAGCTACGCAAACAAAACATTAATCAAGATCATGCTCTGTGTGAGTGTCCAACCGGCTTCCAAAGTCGTGTTTATACCCTGCCTTGCTCTGTTGCGCGCGGACAGGTCTATCGTCAATATTACAGAGTTTCTGTGCAACAGCGACCAAGACACGGCGTCAAATGAACGTTTACGTTGTTTATTGGCATTTTCAAACCAAACAAAATACAGTCCAATGCATTTTCCAAAAGAGCCTTACCTGAAAAAGAAATTTGAACGCGTTATTTGTCTTACCTTGAGCACTTTTTATTAACAAAAGCGAGCAAACCGCTCACCCGCAACAAAACTGAAGCAGCTTATCCCGCCATTTTTTTTTTTTTTTTTTTCTCTTTTAGCGCCGGAAATCGTCACCAGTCAGAAAATGACGTCACCTTTAGCTCCTTTGACTCTACGTGCACCGTCTCCGGACTCGGTGCTTCGGAGCTTGACTCCGAAGCCCCGGAGTTTTGTGCACCGAAAGCGATTTTTGGCAGTCCAGTAGAAGGAGTTGGTGACTTTTTGACTCCGGGGCCGCTACTGAACGCTACCACTTGGGAAACCCGTTCTAACCATTCGTTTTATGCGAGTTTCACGTCGTGCGTAGAGCAATTTTTGGTTGAGGTGGACGAGCTCTTTCGTATAGGTTTACTCAATCCGAAAAACGCTCGCCGGTACATTTTCCGCCAATTCAGATTTATCCGAAAAACTCGTAATATTGAGGTCAAAGTGACAAAATAAAAAGCGAAAAAATAGTGTTCTACACAAATTTTATAAGAGCACAGGGTTATCAGTGGACTGAGATGCCCTGCTTCTTTTGAAATCTGAAAAGGTGTTTGCCCTTTAGTTCATCAAGGTTCCTTCAGACAACGGGTCATTTTACTCAAACATTATTTTTGTCTTTTTATTTTTAAGAATTGTGAATGCTGTAAAATAAACTCAGAATTTTATAGAATTAGGGATCTAACAAAAATAAACCCCAAATTTTTATAAAAAAAATTAACTGTGAAAAACATTCTCTGAATTTCACAAAAAATAAACTCCGAAAACACAGAATCCTACCCATGCCTTAATATTTAAACGTAAACGTGACTAGCTCATACAGTCACCCGTGACCAAGGGACCGAGCGGGTCCTGAAACGTCGGGTTTACGGTCCGGACGCGGTGAAGCTTGCAAAGAGGTTTGTGCACGCAATCGCACAACAGCCAATTTCAAGAGCCACCTCAAAACTTTGGTTAGAGCCCGCAAAAACTATGTCAATTTCTCCCTAACCAGACAGACCTCTGTCGAAAATGTTTATGTTTAAATCTCTATGCGATAACTAGCTCATGCAGTCACCCGTGACCAAGGGACCGAGCGGGTCCTGAAACGTTGGGTTTACGGTCCGGACGCGGTGAAGCTTGCAAAGAGGTTTGTGCACGCAATCTCACAACAGCCAATTTCAAGAGCCACCTCAAAACTTTGGTTAGAGCCCGCAAAAACTATGTCAATTTCTCCCTAACCAGACAGACCTCTGTCGAAAATGTTTATGTTTAAATCTCTATGCGATGACTAGCTCATGCAGTCACCCGTGACCAAGGGACCGAGCGGGTCCTGAAACGTCGGGTTTACGGTCCGGACGCGGTGAAGCTTGCAAAGAGGTTTGTGCACGCCAATCGCACGACAGCCAATTTCAAGAGCCACCTCAAAACTTTGGTTAGAGCAGCTAGCCTGCCAGATGATATCATCTGGCAGGCTAGCTGCTCCAGCCGATCACTCTCGAAGGAGCGTCTCAGTATCAAACGCTTGATACTGAGATGCTCCTTCGAGAGTGATCGGCCGGATACAAAAGGTTTTTTTCCCTTTCTCTCTTCACTTTTCAAAATAAAGGAGTCCCTTGTGCACAAACTCTGGGGAGGCGTCCCCAATAGGCTGCTTGCACTGACGTCAAATTGCATACTTTTGAACACCATGTCAAAGGAGGAGAGGGACACTGCTTTTGTAAGAATTTTGAGTGACAGGTTAATCTTCTATAATCTTCTGGGAGGAGATTATAGAAGATTCTGTGCTTATACGGGAGGCACAAAGGAGGATCCTGATAAGAGGGGAGCTCCTTCTTCCCCTTTTCCCTGGAGGGCATCGGAAATGACGTCATGTGCAAGCCACCTATAGGCAAAAGGGCAATGCTCGGGGGAGGGCGGGGGACTTGAGGGGGGGGGGGGGGGGGGGTACTTTGAGAAGCAGCAATTTTCTGCTCATTGCTGCTGAGTAAGGGGAAAGTCAAGAGCCTTTATTCTTGCCTCAAAAGCCATGCTTGCTTGCAAACTTGCTGCATTCCACAGTTGTCTACTATACTCCACTTTACCGCAAGTGCTACCAAAGCCGATGCTTGAAGCACGAGCATGTTGGCTCGCTGCTTTCACTTCATGGCTAGCGTTTGCTGCCTAAAGCATTGCATGGTCATTCTTGTAGCTTCTCCTTCATTTACACTTCTGGTGAAATGAAGTATAGTGAAGAAATGAAGAGTTGCTGAATAGCCTTTTGCTAGCACATTCGTCCAGTCTCTGGTGGCCAAACCTCACGTTTTCTCCATAATCGTCAGCTTGGTTCACTTCATTAGCATCTTGTTAGCCTGTTGTTAGGAGTTGTGCCGAGGTATATAGCCTTGTGCCGTGGAACTACTGGAGCTAATAGCACCTAGAAGGCAAGTCCTACACATAACGTCGTCATTAGTAGAACATGCCCCAAGCAAGCCAAAGCTCAACGAGAGTATGCGAGGAAGTAGCAGATGCGTCTTGGCATTGCCACATGCTAGCATCGCACTCGTGAGACATTGCAAGTTGCACTGGCGGTGACGTGGACACAAGCTAGGCAGCCCTTTGTAGATCCACAAGTGAGAGGAGGAAAGTTGCAGGCATTGTCTTTTACATGGTACAGTCTAACCCGTTTATAACGAACAGCAGAAAACGCCATGATCAGCTCGATATAGCAAATAGTTTGATATAGCAAAAACCATTTACAACGAACTTCCACAATTCGTTCGTTGCAAGGTGAGAGCTTCTCTTTCTTTCTCATATCTTCGCTTTTGCCATCTAAAAACGCACTATTTTTTTTTTATGTGCGCAGAGTTTTTTTTTTAGCTTATCTCCTTTTTTTTAATCGCTTCTCTTTGTGGGCTACCGCTTTGGGAGGAATTTCTTTTTCTGTGCGTGTGGGCAGAGTGTTTTTTTAGCTTTTTCCCCTTCTGAATTGCTTCTCTTCACTCAATTTTGTTCGCGGCTTGAGCTTTTAGAATTCTCTTTCTTTCCTACTTTTTTTGGGGGAAGAGACAGGCTTGAAGACGATTGTTTGCGCGTTTTTGGAAGCCTTCCCAGGGAGAAAAAGCTTGATATAGCCAATATGTTGCAATATGTTGTTCACTATAAAAAGTACTTTTCACATACATTTTTATTTAAATTTTCCGTGAGTTCGATATTCACAATAATTCGTTGTATGTGGGTTCATTCTAAACGGGTTTCACTGTATTGGTAGACCCACCTTGAGGCTGATCTGACTCTTGCAACCCCGGACGACAGCCTGTTAAGGTTTGGGAGTTTGAGTAGTTTTCGAGTAACCAGAAACTACTCAAAATGTACCACTGCAGTGTGTGACCGATCTCTTCACTGCTGCAGGCTACCCTCATTCGGACAGATGCAATCTACAGCAGGACAACTACCGCTCGTCGCATCAGTCCCGCTTGCCTCAGCAGCCTCTAGTTCGTGCAAGCAGCTTCGATTTCAATGCAGCCCTAGAGCAGACTCGTAAGCAGGAGGAGCGCCAGAAACCCCGTGGGTACCGCGACCCCAGCTATGGGGGATCCTATGGCAGTGCGGAAGACCGGCATGTCGACCAACGAGACTGGTACCAAGGTAACCAGAACAGGTACCAAGGTAACCAGAACAGGTACCAAAGTAACCAAGACTCGTACCAAGATAGGTACCAGGGGAACCAAGACAGGTACCATGGAAGTCGGGACAGGTACCAGGGAAGCCAGGAAAGGTACCAGGGAAGCCAGGAAAGGTACCAGGGAAGCCAGGAAAGGTACCAAGGAAGCCAGGAAAGCTACCAGGGAAACCGCAACAGGTACCAAGGAGACCAGGACCAGCATTTGGGGAGTCAAAGCAAACACCGCTGGGTGAAGGATGGCCATCAGAGCGAGCGAAGCGACAACAGAAGCAATGGGAAGGCTGCTGTAACCTTCGACTTCAACAAGGCTCTCGATGAGGCCACAAAGCTGGATGAGGACAGAGATGCCAGTGAGTCCCTTGGGTGAGCAAGGCTGTGCTGAACTGACCTTGTGTTTCAGTCTAACAGTGGGACATCAGTTAGAAAATTGTCTAGCACCATAAACTTGGAATGGGGCTTCTGTAGGTGTGGACACGACCACCCCCAAAATTGGACCTTTTTCTAGTAATCTTCTGCGCATGTGTACACTCCCGCTGTCGCCATTTTAGCAGGGCACCGGAACGATTGCCCTGCGAAAATGGCGAAAGTAACATTGTCAGCATCTATCTTTGCGCGTATTTAGTCTATTTTGACGCTTCATTTTTTAGTATCAGTAGTATGGGGTATAAAAAGCACTGAAAACCGATACAACGGCACAATGCCAATGTGTTTTTGGCGGGCGGAGGCATATTGGGCTGCTTTTCATTTGTAGTTCGCAGACAACTCCCCAGACGGCGCTCATTACTCGAAAAAGGTAAAGCCCCTCGATATGTTTGCGTTTGTCGTGCAAGTAGCGTCAAATGCGCGAGTGCACGAGACCCACATCTCGAGCGGCCCTTGGAAGCGAATGGCAGCGCAGCACTGAAATGAGTGGTCCTAGGAAGCGAATGGCGGCGGAGCACCCACTCGTAGCACGTGTCTCGCGCGCTTCCACAACAATGGTTGGCGGTACTTGTAAAAAACGCCTTTATCGAGGGGCTTTAGAAAAAGGTCCATTGTGCTGGCTTTTGTTGTGATGCTGGTGGATGGAACCCTTCTTCTCTGAGCACACCTGTTTGCTGAACTGGGCAACTAGTCTTGGCAGATGATTTGTATCCATGTTTCCGGTACTTCCAACTTGTCTGCTTTTAAGTCTTCCGCTGGTGTTCTGGAAGTAAGACCTTTAAAATAACTTGCATTCACTACATATTGTATTTTAATTTATCTCTTGACATAATATACCTTTATCTAAATCTTGCGAGAAAAGAAACACAAAATCCCACATTTGATGTTGTCTCAATTGCATTAATTTTAAAGCCTGCTCTATCTCAATTCGAAGTAATAGAAATATGAGATAAAAAGATGGGCTAGTTGGTGCATTGCTTGGAAGAAAAGCTCTGAATAAATGTAGCAAGATGTAGTCTCACACTCACAGCTGTTGTGAGTGTACTTAGCCTCTGTCTACTGATTGGTCCCTGTGTATTTGGCGCTTTTATTATAAGGAAATGATAGAAATACTCGCTAGTGTTTGCTCATTCCTTGCCTCTTACGAGGCATCTAGGCATCTGTGAGGCAATTAATTTATGTATTAGCTTTATTATTTTTTTTTTTTATTATACAGCAAAATGCTTCATCATTTTTCTTCCCCCTTTTTTTTAGTGTTGCATGGGTTTGCTTTGTGGCGTTGTAGCTTATTGCCAAGTCACATCTTGCTTGATAGAGCTTCCGCCTACACAGGTAGAGGCTCTGGAGAGCGCTTTAGTAGCTTGAAATAGACAACAGAAATCAAGAAGGCTAACAGTGGCTTTTGCTGGGCTAAATGGTGCTTCTAGCCTACTTGGACGGTCGTGATTAATGGGATTCCTGTTTTGTCTCCGGATGTTCCAGCGACGCGTCGCTCGGGGTGGTACGGGACATGAAAACGTGGAAGGCCAGTGGGCAGTGGCCATTTTCTTCGTACGGACCCTACGCCAACTCCTTGTCTTACCCGGGCTTTGCGGACGCTTCCATGGAGGAGGTGCGCTGGGAGTGCTACCAGGCAAAGGAGGCGGGCACCATGAGTGCTTATGTAAGTGCAGACTGGTTGGACAGACCCAGTTCTGAGCTTTTCTTTTTGTGATATTTGCTTATCTCCAAGTGGTGTAGCCACGGACAGGACAAAAGCGGCAGGGACAATTTTCGTGAGGGAAAGAGGATGCCCTGCCGTTATCAGCTTGTCTAGGCTGTGTATTGCACTGTGCCAAAATTGGCCTTCATCGGCCGCACTGTATCTTCGTTGTATCTTCAGTTAGTGTTGGCTTGCATCGCGGTCATTGTTGCAAAATGGTGGTTGCTTTTGCAGAAGCAAACTTGGTTGCATTGTTTTCACAGGTGAGCTTGCAGTGACCAGAAATTATCACGTGCAATTCACCCACAGAACCCTCGCAGATGGTGATTTGGTTACTTTATTCAACCCATTCCGCAGACTGTTTCCATAGCTGACTTTTAACCAACATTTATGTTTTTAGATTTAAATGTGAGTTTTGCTGAATGCAGATGAAACATCCCCAGAGCTGTTGATCTTGTGCCTTTCACAACAATGTGTGGCCACACCAATGACGAGGCACAGGAGGTACTTTTAGCAAGTTGTTTTCTGAGTCGTGTAGTGGCCCCAAACCACGTCCGAACGCGGCCCGAGCGGGGCAAACTGGACGTGGCTTGGGGCCACTGCAGCCCAATACCACTCTGGGTGTGTGCTTTGAGGCAAGCATTGGGGTAGCACTGCAAGTTCCCAATACGAATATTGTTCTACGTATAAACACAATTCGCTAGAACTCCACAGTATGTGTTACTGAATGCAGCATGGAAACTTGGCCAATGCACAAACGAAAATCTTGGCAAAGGCTAGGATGAGCACCTGTCCCGCGACTCGCGGGGCTGTCCCGCATTAAGGGCTTGTGTTCCGCGTCCCGCAAGAAATTCCAAAATCTTCAAAATGTCCCGCATTTCACATTGTCGTAACATTCACTGCGCAAATTATGGCGCTTCCGAACAACGGGCGAAGGGGAACCGCGGGGGTCGCTGATAAATGTGCGAATCTCAATGGTATGTCATTTTCTTGCCAAGCAGTTTGGGAAGCAACCGTCATTCTTGCAGGAGACTGACGCGCATGCGCCGTTGTGCCTCTCCCCTTGATGGCAAAATATTGCAAGCAAAAATTGCTTGCCACAAGCTGAAAAATAAACTATTGTAATTAGTTGCAAATCATACTGTATCATGCGAAAGGATTGTTGTGGAAAGCTTTTTTTTAGTGAAGACGGCCACACAAGGCAAAAAACCTGCAACTCGCAATGGTCAAAAAACAACAGCATAAGGTTTTATTTTTGTGTAGGAGCATGTTAATATAAGAGTAAGTATCGACAGAACACAATAAACCGAAAAATATTTACTGCTTTTTATTTCCTTTTGATGCATTGGGGTCTGGTGCAGTCAATCTATGTTTTGAACGTAAATACTTTTAATAAAATATTTACCATTACAAATAAACAAAAATATATCACTGTGAGTGAAACTTAGTTTAGTTGCCGCATACAATTTTTAGGTGTATAATACGCTTTCGGAGAGCACAGGATTTCGGGGTGTGCGCGTTGGTGAATTTCCCTTAATGGGATACTACAACGAAATTTCGGCGCTTATTTAATTGTCAATATGTGTTCAAAGGAGCAGTATCACATCGAGCACACCAATATCTTATTAAAAAAGTCACGAAAAGGAATTTTAAAACAAATTAAACGATTGATTAGCAACGAGCACCTGGTGGATGTCGCTAACGCCTCGTTTGTAATGCCCATCTAGGAACCTTGACAGCTAGTGACGGTGAGTGTCTCCCCTCCGACCACGACGAGAGAAGAGGGGAAGGAGGAACTCCCGTCTTCCCGAAAATCCCTTTTGTGTGTTCCAGAAGTAGCTATTGTCCCCCTACAAGATTATAAAAGATTAACCCGTCACTCAAAATTCGCACAAAAGCTGCCGCTTCGGTGGCTAGAACGACTAGGCCATCCCCTCGGCGTCAGACTCACCGTAGCTTTGCTCGTCCCGAGACGACCTACGTCACGATTGTGTCGGATGTCGCGTGCTCTAAGGTGGGCCTTCTCCGAGCACTTGCTAGAGTGGGCCGTTTATAACAAAAAATACAGCCACTAGACTCAAAATAGAAACGTGCGACTGTCATTTACAGATATTGTGGATCATATTCAACCTATTTTTGAACACGACGGATATATTTCAAATTTCATTGAAGTATCCCTTTAATACTTATTTCTTGAGTCGTAAAAATACCGTCCTCCTCCTCCCCCCCCCCCCTCCCCCCCCGGTCAGGGTGTCCCGCATTTTACCGGCAGGAAGGTGGTCACTGCAGCAAAGGCCTAGGGTTCAGAAGACTGCATTATGTGTCCAGAGGCGTCTATCTCTCTTACGGGAAGATGCAATCTGCAGAGCAGATTGGCAACTTATTCCAGAAAAATGATTGAACCAAGAAGAAAGTGGTCTTCAGAGCAGTCACACAAATGAGGGACCTAGCTATCACATATGAGGGGCCTAGCTATCATGTCAAGCTGCCTTGACATGATAGCTAGCATGTCAAGCAAATGGCAGCCTTGCACATCTGAAACACTTCAAATCACCATTCAGTGTCCAAACTTTGGAGACCTCGGTCGACCTGCAACCACGGTACACCACCGTCCACGTCTGATCTACTATCCTCATTATAGTGGAAATCTACGGGTAGCTAACTAACATGAAGGTATGTAGCACTTTATTCATGCATGATTAATTGGTTTCAGATCCAACAGCTCAATCAAATTGGCCAGAATGTCCAGCAAAATATTGATCACCTGCTTGCAATGACACCTACTGCAAAAGAAATTTTGGTGAGTTGATTTTGCACTGCTTTGCTTGTTTGTGTGCTCTTATTAGCTGTTGTCAGTGTTGGGTAAAGTACCCCGAAACAGTATTTGGAAGTAAGGTACAAAGTAAATGAGATGTACTTCAAGTTAAGTAGTAAGTACACTGGGTGCAATGTACTTGAAGTAAAGTACTATAAATAGAATTTACTTTCAAAGTAAAGTTTAAGTATTTTTAACATAATCTTTCATGATGTCCTTTCATTCTTCTACACAGTGTTTTTCTTAAAGGGATACTGAATCGAAACTTAAAATGTACCTCTCCCATTCGGAAACAAGTTAAACATGCTCAACTGAATCTGCTAATGACAATCGCAAGCTTGTATTTTGAATGGATGGCTATATTTTTCATTATAAAGGACTGATTCCAGCGAGCACTTGAAAATCAGCCATCAAAAAGCGCAATGCATCACGGGAGCTGACCAATTGATGTCACAGACGTGACATCACTTAGTCGAGAGTGGGCAAAGCTGCTTGGGGGCTGACATGGTTATGAGCTCTGTCACTTGGCGTCGTCGACGCGTTACAACCTGGCCATTTATCGTTGCCTCTCCAAGGGTTCTCCCGGCCTATTCAACCCTCTGCAAGGGTTGAATAGGCCGGGAGAAAAGGAAAATCCTGTTCAACAGGGCTCGCGCGCATGCAACTTGCCGCCGTACTTCCGCAGAGCGGAGCTGCTTTTGAGTGCAGAGTGACGTAACGACGTTCGTTTTATTCCTTTTGAATAATGTTTTGGTGTCTTTTCGAGCAAAAAATTGGTGTTTCCGTGGTGTGGCCAGAACGTGCTTGTCATTTAAACCAGTGGTTCTCAAATGGGGGTCCGCGAAGGTATTATAGGGGTCCGCGAAGCCCTGCCTCATGAGTCAAGCCCGGCAATATAAGTTGTATTTTTCAGATCGAGAACAAATGTTTCAGTTTTCGGGCTAGTTTTCTCATGTGTATGTCAGCAAGAGAGGTCTACTTCACACTAACCCTTAGTTATATCTATTTAATTAATCAATATTATATTTAACCTATACCCTTTTCCTGCCTTCGCCATGAACGGGGTCCTCCATTATCTCCGCCGATCCACAAGGGGTCCGCGAAACATTGATAGCTGAGAACCACCGATTTAGACAATGAAATGGGTACTACAGTTCCGTTGCAGTATCCCTTTAAACTGGTATGTAGAGTGAACTGGCAGATTTCTGTCTTAACTTCAATCTTTCCCAAATTATAACCGAACCCACGCGATCAACATCCCATGCTTCAAATATTCTTGACCTCATTCTTTGTTCAGAGCCTGGCACTTGTTAAATCAATTAACTACCTTCAAAATAAGTGACCATAAAGTAATTCATTGTATTTTTTTCTTTACATCTTCTTTCCAAATCCAAGTGGCATAAAACCGTAAGACTATACGGTATGAATGCCAAACCAGAAAAATTTGTTTCCTTTCTGGTCGACTTCGATGTTCGCTCTGTTTCTGATAATTGGCCTCTTTTCAAATCGAAAATGCAAGAACTTGCTGGCACTTTCGTACCCACCGTCACATTTAGCAAAAGCTTATCTGCTCCTTGGTTTAACTGTTCTTTAAAACATCTAAATTCGAAAAAGAAGACTGTTTCGGAAGGCCAAGACTACAAAGTGCAACTTAGAAAAACTTTGAGCCTAAGGAAAAAAAAAATATTTTCTGCCTGGTAACCTTTTGCCCAATATTTATGCTACAGAACTCGGACCGCGCTCCAGTTGGGTACAAACACTATCATCATCCCATAGGGGTACAATTTAGGTTTTGTTTGCAAATCAAAAAATTCATATTGTAGCAAAAATATTGGGCAAATGAGAATTTTTTTCTACAAACATTTATTGAGACATGCCTGTCCTAACTAGGTAGAAAAAAAAAAAAACTTTTTTTTTTTCTCTAGGTTTAATGTTTCTTTAAACTGGGCAGAGTGTCGAACTGAAATTTTTATCGGTTAGGGTTGGGTTCACAGTTTTCGGTTCAGTTTCAGGGAGCAAAAATAATGGTTCAGACTGGTTCGAACAGGTTTGAAACGCTAAATTGATAATATATTTTCCGCATTGCTTTAGCAATAGGCACTATTTCCACCCTGAAACGAGTAACTCTACTTAATAGTTTTATCGTTCGTACACTCCATTTTTATTTTCAGGTACCAGGTACCAGGGATCAGAAATTGCGTTATTTAATTTCAACGAAACATTAAAAGAAAATCTGGATTAACATACAAAACATTGTATTTATCCTTTTGTTTACCTCAGTCACATATATTATACCTGAATCAAAAGGTTGTCACGAAGTGTGGTAGGTTGCCCAAAATACTCGCAATTGGTACAACTTTGCTTCGCAGTGTTAAAAGTTAATCGTAGCTGGGCTCTTGAACTAAGAAATTAATTACAATGCATAAAATCATGAAATGGGCACCTCATCGCCATATATAGTTTACAAAATAAGTTTCACAATATATATGTGATGATGCAACTGAATAAAGGAAATAATATTTTCAAAATGTCACAAAAGGTTTTGCACAAGCCCTTTTAGTCTACCTTCTATAGAAACACTGAGCGGCAATCACAACGCTTGTTTTTTTAACCAACATTGTTCATACTCAGCACTGTGGTGCAGGCAAAGAATCATGCAGAAAGGAGTGATCCAAATTGCTCACTCTAATATGTAAGCACCTTCGTACTGTGATTGAATCTGTCCTAAAACAGCACATACCCAATTGAACATTTTCTTATACAGGATAAACTGGCATAGCCTGGCTGTTGAGGTTTGTTCTTGACAAGGTGCCGTTCAATTGAATTTGCAAATAAGAATCACCCTTAATAATTGATGATTTTTTGTTAAATAACACAAAGTATTTTATGCTCTACTTGACATGGCAGCTACTTAACTGGTCACTTTCTGATGGTCTGCATGCGTAATCATCATAGTTCCTCCACTTGCCCCTGTGTACTTTGTTTTTGCCCATGCCACAGACACTTAAAATTGCTGTTCATCACATAAGAGGTAATAAGACTTCTATATGTTTAGAAGTTATATATGTATCAGAAAGGACATTGTTTTTAAAATCAACTTCAAAATTAAAAATTTGTTTAAGGCTCTCCCAAATCACTTATACACGTGCCTGTCGAAGATAAAATCATTGGAAACTATTTGCTGAGCATCTTCCAGATAGCTTGGGGGTGCATTTCCTTATGATGTACATCTTTCAGGTGATCGGCCCTTTATTTATGTCTGTCAAATCTTCAGTCAATGGTTAAATATATTTTTATTATCAATAAATTTGACTGTATGAAGTTCACATAGGTAACCACTTGAGACCGGCACGGCAGGACGATACGCGAAAATATGCTTGGTGTTGAGCCAATTTGCAGAAACTCGCTTTTTTGTTCGCTGTTTGGCAGTGGGAAACACCAGGTCACGGGGCATGCCAAAAAGGACTGTGTGCTCATATGATAGATCTATTCTTCAAATGGATCCGATATGCAATGCCTTACTCCAAAAAGAATTAGAGAGATGGAATGATATTCCTAATTACACATAAGTAGCCCAAAGGACAGACAAAGATTCTTATAATCCTAACATAAATCACATTTGGGCATCGGTTTGCATGAACCGAAAACTTTGCAAAATACTGCCTTGGGATGCTAATGTCATATTCGGTTTTATGTGCACTTGTTTTGGGCCCTCGCTTTTAACATTTATTAGGCTGCCGTATGTCATCGCAAGACTGCTAAATATACTGCGCAACTTTACAATTTGGACCTCTTTTTGCTAATGTTGCAAACATTGCATTTCACCAGAAAGCTTAACTGTTTAATATAATTTGCACGTGACATCCTCGCACTATATGCTGGTGATAGTTACGATTTGTTCTTGCTGAGAAAATCAAATCCGGTGGTGCAAAATGCCTGCTGCAGAAGGTTCACGCTCAGTGTGAGCCATGTATTTGAGGGACACAAATTATTCTTGATTGGTGCAGCGTCATGAGGAACGGCACAAGCGTTTGGCACCACGAAAGTGCGCTTTCTGGCAAGAGTGTTTTTGCAAACAAAGTAGCTTCCGAAGCCGCAATTTCTGGTTTGTGTTGTATATGTGGGGCCGACCAAACCTTTACAACACAGTCCTTTTTTAAAGCTACCCCCCTCCCCCCCTCTTTCTCAATGTTTTTTTTTCTTTTTGGTTGCTCCTTTAGAGAATATTTTTTATCCTTGGAGGGCTCCCTCTTCCGTTTGGGGGTGTTAATTCAACAATTATGTTTGTGTCACTTGTTAACACTAAACCTCTGAGGCAGTTCAGCAGCACATTTTCAGTAAATACTGCTAAGAACTAATCCCTGATGTTGATAACTTGCAAAAACACTTGTTAGTTTTCCTCTCCGCACAATGGCATATGTAGAAAAAATAATGGAAAGAAACAGCTTTCCCCTCCTCAGTTCACAATTAGAACAGCGGTAACATGATCTGACACTAATTATATATCATCAGTGTTCATCATAGTCATGCGCTGGGGTAGGGAAAGCACAGAACATGGGCTGAGTTTCAGATATTTTTAGACCTGGGCTATTCTCATCATTGATTGAACTCGAGTCATTACCTGAATGTTTGTCGGTGCTGATTGTCATGAACCCGAGCACTCGGCTCGGGCTCGTGACAATCGAGGGTGTCACTGTGTCACGTGAATCGCGGTGCAAAGTTGTGATGTCATGTGACGTCGCGGTGTCAACAACACTAGTCTAGTGACTATATTAATTTAAATCAACTTGACGCAGTGAGTCACGTGACATGGGGCCATGTGACATGACATTACTTGACAGAATATCTCTGTCACGTGACCACATGACACATGATTAATTATAGTGCCAATACAAAAGCGCCACGAAAACCCACAATTTCTCATACATTGCTGTTCTGTACATGACGATTTTATCAATACATAGAAATACAGCTACCAATTTTTT